AGTTTGTTATTTTAACACTTTAATCTAACACGAAAGTAACGATAGCTACTTGGCTTGACAATTGTTCTCTTTATCTTACACGTTCACAGAGGTTTATGTGCATAGATTTTGGGCATTTGGTTGTTTCTATTATTTTAATAATTACTATTTAAAAATCATCTTATTCTGACAAATTCCATCAACGGCACCTTCTGTCATATATTTTACGTTTCACAACATCGAAAGTACGGGGAGGTAAGAAGGACGGATAAATTCGTCTTCAGTAAATGGTCTGAATTCTCATCAGAGCAAATCCAATCATCTTGCCCTTTGAAAACAGCTCTTCTTCTGAGTGATATCCAGATAGGGAGGAAGGTTATAGATCACTATTCATTATTTCGACATTCTCACAGTGGATGACGTGATCGAAGAGCGTGATTAATCAAAGACAAAGATATGATTTCAATAAAGTGTCTTCCATGCGAAGAGACGCACGTAAACCGCGGTTGGAATGCAGGTAGAACCGCGGTATAAACTCGTTAAAATGAATTGAACGTATTAACTTATCATGAAGACTATATTTTTTCAATTTTTTCATTAATCAACTATCTCTTGTTTCCCAAGCACCAGGGGGTATTCGGAGAATGTACTTAACACAGAAAAAAAAACTGCTGTAATTCTGTTTGAGTGCACTTTTTATAGAAATCCTTTTAATCAATAGGTTTTCTATCGTTGTTCTAAAAACCAAGAGAGTGGATATTAGTGGCGCATTGGAACGATACACGCACAAATACACACATTCCTTAAAACAAGCACACGCATACGGACTGATGTTCTCTTTAGTCATTTACTGCAAGCATCTTTGGACAAGCATTTCTAAGAGCTCCTTACACACGTACACACACACACACACACACGCATACGCCAACATACACGTACGTTTACACACACAGACTAACGAAAACACGCGAAAGCGCAGACGCACACAAAAGCGCACACAAGCACATACACGTCACCACTCTAAGTCACGGTCGTCACTGCAGACATTGTTTATTTTCCAACTTATCATTATTGACAAGGTAATTATCGGGGCCTTTTGTCCAAATCACTGTATATGGGGGCAAAGTGAACAACCGACATTGGCATTTCCAGCGTTATTTGAAGTTTGTCCAAGTGAAATTATTTTTGTTTGTGGTCAGGAAAGCAATAACAAGCGTATATTGCCCAGAAGGAGCGTGGGGGCAATAGCCACTGTTGCCAGTGATAGGTTGGTTATTGCTGAGTAGATATAGGAATAGAAGAGCCTGATTGCATCCTGCGGTTTGCCTTATTTGACTACTTGAACATTCTGGTGAGTTGTCAACATGCATTATTAGTATTCTGTTATTAAGCCAGAGAAGCCGTCTCTCTCTCTCTCTCTCTCTGTCTCAGAAGCCCAGTCATGAAGCAATAATGCCATTTAAATCATGGATAAGATAATCCAGTATCACCGATAAAATATATTTTTCTTTCGTATTTTTTTAAAGTTTTATTCTGGTTTGAAAGGAGATACATGTACCTCAGTGAGATAACAACGCTATCCCATAACACAAATGGTGGGGAAGCATTCCAATTATCAAAACAAGAGTTGACTAGAACTTAGAATATCACACACACACATCTGAACAACGATTTTGCTAACCATAAATACTTGGTTGGTCTGGCTTCTGTAATAATACGGCTATCGTTGCCTAATCGTGATAGGAAAAAGATAAACGTTCAGCTGTTTGTCGAAAGTATCGTATTAAAAAATGGACAAGGTCAGTTATTGTCTCTGCTGAACTATGTTGGCCAAAACGATAAATAAATAAAGAAAGAAATAAATAAAGAAAGAAAGAAATAAAGAAATAAATATATGCAGTAAATTTATCAATAAAAGATAAGACATGTATTATGAAGTATCGAAAATAATAGAATCAACAAAATGAAAAATAATAAATAATAAATACGATGGTGATGAATCCGTCATCAGTGACGACCGAAGAACGTTAATTGTCTGTATACCGCCACTGAGGTGAGAGATGTCATTGACCGCGGTCACTTGGATATTACTTCCCATATCTTATAATCATGCAGGTTATTATAGCGGGATAGAGGTGCCCGGTGAACTATGCCAGTGACGTCTGAGAGACGTTATTTGTGCAGTGCTATAAAACAGACTTTAAGTCACTGGCACGAGCGAGATTAACAAGTGGACACCCGCTGTTCAAGACATTGAATAATTCACAAGCACTTTCAGTAACTTCACGTGACTTCTTTGTTTGTAGTCCGTTTGCCAAGTAATTATCCAAAATCCTTTTTTCTTCAAAAGGAAAAATGCATTTGTATAGTTTTAGCTGGTAAACAGCTAATTTCATGCTGGCAATGTTGAATCAGTAAAACAAACCACTTAAAGCGGTCTAAATCAACTTCTGGATAATTTGCCATAAGATGGGGAGGCTGTTTAAGACCCCATTCCCAGCGATTAGATCGATCTACTTTAGATCGACCTAACTCCCTGGGGGTTCACGCTAAATAGCTGCCAGCCGAGCGGGCACGAAAGTTAATTACCCCCTTAAAGCTTGTAGTAGGCGGGACGGACATTTAAGCCGGATTATCTGACAGTAATCTAGTGAGACTCCCCGCGGGGATAGATCGATCTAAAAGCTCTGGGAATACGCCCTAAGTAACACACTTCCAAGTTATCCTGTTTCCCAAAAGCATCTTAAAAATATATATAATATACAATATCCTGGCTTAATAACGCAGACGTCTTAATGTTTATTTCTTTTAGATTTCACGAAGGATGTTTACCGTTTGTGTTATAGTTTTCATGTAATTGAAAGTGGTGTAAGGTACCATTACCGCTAATAATATGGCATATTTTCTGGGAAATACGCCAACGAAAGCCTCTAACATAACATATGGGAGCGACGGCATGAATGAGGGTGATGGGGGTTGATTAGTTAAACAACGCCAAGAACCGGGGCAGAAAGGTAGGGGAGAGAGGGGAAAAGGGCGCTGCTTGGTCCAAAATCATCAGTGTAGTAATTCAGGAAATTTGGAAAGTTGACAAATTTAATTGCGATGGCGTTTTGGGAGTGCAGTGTAGAGGTTATGATCAAATTCTGGCTTTGTGGGAATATTCTTGTCGCGCCTGCCCGAAGCTCTGCTGACGGGACGTTATGAGCAATATTCCCTGCCAGATGTGAGTTTAAAACAGAAAAAAAGCAAGAAGGCACAATAGACACTGTAGATTTCAGTGCCATCAAAACCTTATCTAAACAGTGTCTGGGACAATTTACTGGATGAGTAGACATGTATTTTGTGGCAAAAAGGAAACTGACTGAGTTCAGTCAATGTACAGTGTTCATCACGACTCACTCAGACATGTGTTTGCAGAACTGGAAATATCTCGTCTACCCAGGGCACAGCACAGGGAGTGGCTTTCAGTGCTTGGTGTACTGATGTGGTTGACTCAGTTCTCAGGTCAGAATGTTCTGGTCCTGCCCCCTCCATTCCACATATGCTACCATAGATAACTGCACCAGCGGGAATTAAGGGTGACCCTGTGACGTAAAGAGGTGAGCAGCAAGGGGGATGGGGGGGGGGGGGAGAACAACACCCCGGGTCTCAGATACTTCTGGCAACCTGTCCTTGGCAGTTACATTACTGTGTAGAGACGCCAGGGACATACTGATAATAGAGGCTTAGTTTCCAGGAATATCTTATATTCCGAGTGAGAAATACGTGATGCCAGTGAAACTTAGCACACGTGATGTGTTTTACACACCCCCCTCCACCCCGCAAAGTCAATGGGTTTCTTTGAACGATACCACACTAACCGCAGATTAATTCGTTTTCGTTTTTTGTTTCGTAAGTGTTTCTTCCATGATATTTTCCCTCATTGGTTCCTTCATTCGTTGTTTTACTAAAATGCACTAATTGCTACATCATACATTTATTAAAAAGAAATAGAAAAGGAAAAGCAATCATTTCTCTGAAGGAGTGGACAAACGCATTAAGAAAATCCGGTCTGCCTCAATAAAAAACATTTGAAGGTAATAACTATACTCTTGGCGAATGTATAGAAACGGTAATGTTGTTATGGGGAAGACTGGAATTAGGGCATCGCGTGAGGACGATAATCATTGTTAAATTAGACGCACTGTGGGAACGGAAGCCTTTTAACAGGATAATATTTCCATCAACGGAACACATGAGACTACTGACGGTGACGTATTCTGATAAGGTCAAGCAGAAGCAATCTAAAACCGTCAAAGAACTAGAAACAAAGTTGGCAGAAAAACACCTCTGTGGTAGGTTATTCACTTGGGTATCATTGCTGTTTCTTCTTAAAACAATTCTGCATTTACCGTCACCGTAACAGTGACATAATAGTACGTAAACAACACATGCAACACGCGTGCTTTTCACCATATCTCAACAACAATGTCGTTTAGTCTAAGTTACTTTGTTCCAATTAATTTTAAAAGCCAGAGAAATGTTCTTACAGGAATATAATTAGCTTGCAGTTTTACCCCATATTTTACCTTGTTTTTGCTTCGGTGGCATAAAATTGCTTTTTATCTCAATTGCGTAATCTGATTCGATAATTTCAACTTTTATCTTCTTTGGGAAAAACGTTTCGTTAACACATTTACCAAGCTGGAAATTTAATCTAGATGTAATGTCCTCATGGTGTTGACCTTGACCTTGAACCTCCATTATTCAACTAATAACACCTTAATAGCACTTTCCTCCTCGGCTCTTCAAGTTGTAGTGATCTGAAGTTATCGTGGCAACGAGAGACAGTTATAAGAGGGTTAATGAAGAAATGTTATTTAGAAGAAGTCGAAAGAAAAGTCCTAAACAAGTAGAGTATTCTAAATCTTTGTACCGATATTGCATGAGAGAGAGAGAGAGAGAGAGAGAGGGAAAGGGAGAGTCTGAAATATTCGGTCTTAAAACTGCCACATCAAAATGTGTATGTATGAATAAAACAATAATCCCATTTAATGTGTTTAGCATGTGCTTTATTTTTAACAGATTCGCCACAAACCACTAAGGCAGTCACGCAATGCTACTAAAATGAAGTAGACGCTTGCATGCTCGGATTTTTACCAACGCAATTAACATTTGTCAGAAATGTTCAGGTTTGTAATTTCAGCCATTGATCTGTTAGTCGTGCTTTGCCTATTACAAGTATACAGAACTGTGCCACTGGCTTTTAAACACGCATGCAATAATGGTGGGGATCGCGGCAATGATCCCCCTGAGAGAAAAAGATCTTCGTTTGGTGGCTTTTTATAATTACAGCGCGTTTTTTTTTCAGAATATTGGTTAACAAGCCATCGTGCTCTCTAAGGAGAACAATAAGAATGGTTTCTACATGATCTACGCAGACATTTCCCTCTCATTGTGTTACTCGACGATAAGACAAGCAATTGCCAAAACAAAGGTACAGCATATTTTGGCTCCAACTAGAACCTGGCAGTGGGTCCTAGGCTCGAGAAATGCCGCTTACTTACACTCCGTGAAGTCATCATCATGCAAAATCATTACATTCTTATCAAAAAAGAATATTAAACCATAATGATACAAAGACCATGACAAATATAGTGTAAACTCTAGCCTTGTCGGAATTACAGTTGTAGTGTAACAAAGACAGTTATTATTTGACAATTATTGGCACCAATTACACGGGGAAATGAAAAATAAAATATCAATGCCGAAATAAATAACAATAACGATGAGCAATTTATCCTGACGCGTTTTGTAAACCGATGATTCACTTTTATTCGGTATAAACAACATCCCGTGTCCTGACTCCGTATACAGCATCCCCGTGAGACCGCGAATTACGATGTTTACACAACATAAAATACCGTTTGATTTGACGTGTTCCATACACTGGGGGGTTCAACCGTTTGGCTGCAGAGAGGGGGGGGGGATAATATAAAACGTTTGCCTCATTGCACTTGGTAGTATACAACGATATACGAGAACACATGTGTAACATGTACTATAACCAGTAGGACACCGGGTGGTGAAGTATATACTTATTTTGGTCTTGTGCCGTAATATCGGTTTTTGGTGGCCATAAAAAGAAGTTTGTGGCTCAGAGGATATGGGAGGTACACATACCTTCTGCACCCCACTGCCCCCGCCATTGACTGTGTGAACAGTAGAAAGGCAACAAGTTTTCTTTTTAACTCAAGCACTTAAGCCTTAATGCAGAACTTTTACTTGAAATCACTGTATTCATTTTAAAATCTTGTAGAAATGTCAGTACATAAGAAGAATTATAGCTTGCCTTTGTATCTAAAAGTACATACTCAGAAATTAAAAGTTACGATATTTCAATTCTGTGCATTGTATCTTAAAACCATACGGTATTGCCAATTAACTAGTACATATTAATGTACAGCGTGTATTCCTGGTCGAAACAAGTCAAACTTTCCAATGAAATAATATTTCCAAAAAAATCTTAAACTGCCGTTTCGTACACGTAGGCGATGTGATGGTGCTGGCATTTGCTTTGTGACTTTGATCTGTCATTGGGCCGATTTCCTTTGAAAATCCCGTGGTGTCCTGTGCCGCTCTCCCTGGCATTGTCCGTTCTCTTCACACACTTCAGTTTGCGAATCCAACGCACCAAAAACTTTCTTGTTGCTCTGCGAAACCCGCGAGAAGCAAAATTGTACAAAATCGGGTTCACGCACGAGTGTCCGAAGGCCAGAGAATAGACAATTACTGCCAGAATAGCCTGGTCGAGGATTCGCGGGATTTGGTAACCCGCGGCAATCATAATGAAAAGAATCTGCGCCGGCCCCCAGCATATTAGAAAAGATAAATCCACGGCTCCAATAAGAACCACCAGTTGTTTGTTCCGGGTGTGTATGCACGTGTCGCAGGCCTTGGTGGAGTTGATGGAGTACCTCCGGGGCTGCAATATCGGCGATTTACAGAGCTCCCAGAGGAGATAAAGAGACGCAAACCCAGTCACAACCAGCGGGAGAAAGAAATCCATTCCCGTCATGATGAAAACGTTCAGGTAGAACGGTAGCATCGTGGACATGTGCAAGGTGCAGATGTGGATCCCGGGTTTCTGGTCGGGCTCATCGTAGTATATAAGAATTGGAATGTTTACCAGCGAGACAAAGATCCACACGACCAGGCTGGACACGACGGCATGGCGGCACGTTAGTCTGCCGAATGACTTCAGTGGCAATACCACCGCAAAGAGTCTAAACACTGATATCACAGTCATGGTGTAAATGCTCGCCCCCAGCGTGGTGTATTGAATAAAGTACAGCAACTTGCACGTCATCCGGCCCAGATGAAGATTCAGCTGAGAGGCGAAATAAGCGCACTGAATCGGCAGGCAGAACACGAGAAACACCAAATCACTGACGGCCAAGTTCAGGAATAAAGAACTGGCACACGTCATAATAGCGTTTGTGGATAGCGTAACGCACACCACGAGCGCATTCAGAAGAATCCCCACCGTCAACACTACCCCCATTAGCACCGGGAATAGGACAGCAGCCACGGCCAGGGCCTCGCTGTCGTCTACTGAGTTCCTGTCCGGGAATTCTAGCGTAACATTCATTCCAATACTGATGTTTACTGAAGAGTTGGAGTTTAAATCCAGTAGAGCCATATTCAGCCAATTTTGATTGGTGGGAAGGTTTCAATAGATAGAGCAGAAACTGACCAATCAGCTGTCACTTATTATTTCCCTCCGCGCGTGTCGCTGACTGAAACTTCAGAACAACAGTGCAAGATGAGCTCTCAGTCATTTTAAGGTGAATTATCTCTAATGGCGCAGAGACTGCACAGGTCTGAATGTCCTCATGTTTCTCCTCTCACATAATAAATAAAGCTGTAACAAGAATAAATCAGCGATCAAAGCGTTGTGAAATCTAAAAAATGTACCGTTTACTTATCTTAATTCGATTTTTCTTCCACCATACTCCACACAGTCAGCGGCGGTACACACTGAAGATAAATATGAGTCTTGCGTGGTATGGCGCATTAATTGCTTCCCTTCCTGATTCAGACTTTCAAACATGTGTTTCGTGCATCAACCCACGAAAATACTCCTGTTCACTTTTGTTGGACGTGATAGCACCCCGGGTAGACCTCGAGTATGTGCATTTCAGTTCCAGCGTTAGTGACTATATATTTGTTACGTCACAGTAGACGTGCGTCCGTGGTTACAGAGACGATAGTGCGGGCGCCTATATGAATATTACCTGTCAGAACAGTTATTATATTCCAACATACTGGTTCGTTTTCCCAGGTCATTTAGTCTAACACCACTCCCACCAGGAACGCTTTCTCAAATCATAGGCCTGTTTTTAATTAAGCCGTCGACGTTGTTTTTTCTACGCGGTTCATTCATTTTCATCCTCAAGACCAAATTACTTTACCGTATGCTGTCCCGATGGATCTCGTTTTCTTTTTTACTGGGCTGTTTATTGCAGTAAACGGTTGAAGTTCTCCGATTTCTGACCTCTTAAAGTGTATTTGTAACCCCGAGTAGCAGTGGGAATAATACTGGCGATCTTGTCGAGTATCTGTCCTTTTAAGAAAGCTTTAAATCACGAGCGAGGGAAACATGGCCAGTCTTATCTACATCTAACATACCAGTGCGACAATTCCAATGAAAATGACCAAATGAGTTTTCAATTGCCGGCTTAATAAGTGAACCCAGTGAAGTAAGACCGCTCGCTACAGGTCGCAGACTGCCGCAGGGACAACCGGTTGTTTCCAATCATCTGCAAGAGCAATTCCGTCAATGACATCAAATACACGAATCAACGCCAGCGTGCACGATGTAGAAGTATTAATTCCGATGGTTCGCCCAGCTCACACAATAACACAGACCATGAAGCAGTCAGCTATTTATAGAAGTCCACTTTTCTCTCTCTTCTGCTGGCGTCATGGAAGGGCGTGAAGCCATGGCCGAGATCGCGAGGTCCTGACAAACAACATAAATGGCAGTGAATAACATAGCAATATCCTAGAGGGAAACCTCAAGTCGTATGGTTGCTTGTAATACCACAGACTGGTAACGTAACAATCAGAGAATCTCGGCCTAATGTAATTTAGGATCCCTTCCCCAACAGGTTTGACAAAATGAATGACTCTGACGAAGTTCAGTCTCAAAGCATTAAAGCATGGCGGTATCCTTAATGTGCTTATGATATTTAGTTACGCAATGATTGATTTTTATCTCTAATTGTACATTTACAACAAGGGCCAATAGGCGTAATCTTGAAAGATAACAATAGGCCTAGAAAATAAATGTTGCTCGGTTAAGCGTGACGGATTAAAACGCCGTCGCGATGCCTTTGGGGCTTTAAATATTGTCGTGATCGGGACAGTGATTTAGTGATTTGATACTGCAAACCTTGACCGGTATGGACCCGTAATGCCGCAGGATGATACTTGCATATAAATTATTGAGATGAAATTCATAGTTTCACTAAGCGATTTTCGCTAAGCGATTTAGATAGCTGGTACATGCATTCGTCTTCAGGCATTACACTGTCATCGATCCGTCTTCGTGACTTGTCATTCTTACATGTCATCCCGGCTTTGAAATCAGCTTTGTGTCTCTTCAACGGATGATGGAAATCGACTTATGAAGGGAAGCCATTCATCTAATTATGCTCCATACCTTCATTTATCACAGGTATATTATTTAAACATCCGTTACTAACGTCAGTACCATACAGCGTTATTATTTAAAGAAGACCGGCAGATTCAGTAATCATTTCATATACATTAAAACTGTCGGTTTAATGTCCTTGCGCAGGTGGGATAGAGGAATCAATGTCTGCTCAACATTACCTAGAATACAGAAGGATAACTGGTAAAATTATAAGCACCTGTTACGCCTAACTTGAGACGGCTTGCAAGACCGAAGTATGGCCCACTGTCCCCCCCCCCCTTTAAAGTTGGGGCTTTTAACAATATTTGATCATGACAGTGATAAATATGTTCACACATGCGTGTTAAAACACTTTAAATGTTGCAGCCTATTTCTATAATTTGTTCCATATTTGTGAGAGTGGGTCAACATGTCGTTCCCCAAGCGATTAAAAGCCTGATGTAATACATGCTGTGTTAATGTGTTGCGAAAGAAGGGGACCAATATGTTTTTAAGTGGCGTCTCGTTACTGTGGGGGCGCTTGGGACATGTCGCTTTGAATCAAGTCCCAAATTTGCTGGCTCTGAAATTGCACTAAGGCAAGTGAAACAGACATCCGAAAATCAGTAAAGATGCTCGGAAACTAAGCACATGGGCATGCATGTGCTTATTGTTTGAACACTCCACAGGTTGAAGACTAATAAATATCTTCAGTTGAAATCCGTTTAGCGTGATGCCAGTCAATCAAGGTGTCGATGCATTTCACAAGGATATTGAGCCATCACGCAAGGACACTTTATAAATTGGCGGAAAAATGGTGAGAAGGCGGGTGCCCACTTTTTGTTAAGCAACAGCAGTTCGATAACGTTCCTACTTTCTTCCTCTGTGTTTTTTATTAATGGTACAAATATTGTTGTCTGTCTCACCTTAACTTTGCAGGATTCTAGACTCACATTTAGGTCGGCAATTAGAGTCCCAGAATCCCCGTCTTACCCCTGTAAACTTTAATAAATTCTGCAGACCAACACACATTTTGCACGGGAAAATGTTCACCTTTGATTTAATTGGTATTCCGTGCGTCATTAACATTTCGAATATCACATCCTTCTCTCGTCATCTTCAGAGGGTGCCAGACGTGAAAAAAAAAAAATATATATATATATATATATATATATATATATATATATATATATATATATATATATATATATATATATATATCGGAGAATTAAGTCAGTACACCATGAAAAAGTGCTCCACCCATGGTGGCGGCCCGTGGGGAGCTGGTATAATCAAAGATGTGAATAACTTAGCTTCCTCTCTCCATTTTATTTTTTAAAAAATGCCCTAGATCTACGGCCGTTTCGGCCCTGAGGCCTCGTCAGGGGCGAAAACAAAACAAATTACAAAAAAGACTCTGGTAATAAACGGTCAGTGTAAGACGTCGCACACAGAATATTCACGTGTGACGTAAGCGCTACGTCGCTCGTATAGGTGACAATAGAATGTGGTTACATTACATAATAAAATAACTTGGCTACATTACCCTAGGTTCTAGATTCCGGTATTGCCAGCTCGATCTTGATTTCATATATAACCCATGTCGCAGCGACTCCACCACGAGGTATATTTAGCAAGCTAGCTTTTACGTTTCTCTGACACTCAGGGTAGGCTACATAAGCAACTTTTCAAAATTAGTACACATAGTCAATGGTATTCAATAAATATTTTTTAGAATGTCGGCATTTGCTTACAAGTTCATTTCTGGTGTTCAGCGTTTTCTTTCTTTCCGAAGTAATGATGTAGAACTTTTCCCACAGGCATAGCTGACACCGTTTGGTTATGTTTGAATATGGTCGAGCTTTTTTTAGTATTGACCATTTCAGCCCATAGTTGGTTTTTTTGTCCTTAAGAGTCCATATATAGCTGCTCAAAGAGGTGTGGTGACGCTTGGATGAGCAGTTGAAAGAGGTCTTATGGTTGTTGTATCTATATTTAAATTCACATTCAGATATACCAATGTATTCTTTTGTTTCGCTATTGGTTATCACAGTTGCCTTATAAACTACATTTTTTTCTAGACATTTGCCATTCATTGGGCATTCGCTTTTTATCCTACAGTTACAAGTTTTTACATCTGATACATTATCTACAACCCTAGAATTATTCATCAAACTGTTGTTCTTAGTTTTAATAATTTGGGCAATATTATCCATGCAGCTGTAGCTAACTTTAGCCTAATGTTGTTTTTATGGATTTTGCAGCAACGTTTGTATAATGTAGTTTGTGGCTGAAACCGACCGACTCGAGCGCTTCCTGGTACTCCCTCTTTGATGATATATAACCTCGTTGGGATATATATATATATCCTTCGGACCTTATAAAAAACCAACGCAGCACTACGCTATGTGCACCGTAGGCCCCTAAATCTAACCACCCGGAATGCGTCATAAAAGCCATACCAAACTCAGTAAACACAAGACTATCTACGATTTCTAGTGATGAAAGCATGTTTGAGTCTAAAAAATATTTATTGAATACCATTGACTATGTGTACTAATTTTGAAAAGTTGCTTATGTAGCCACGTTATTTTATTATGTAATGTAACCACATTCTATTGTCACCTATACGAGCGACGTAGCGCTTACGTCACACGTGAATATTCTGTGTGCGACGTCTTACACTGACCGTTTATTACCAGAGTCTTTTTTGTAATTTGTTTTGTTTTCGCCCCTGACGAGGCCTCAGGGCCGAAACGGCCGTAGGGCATTTTTTAAAAAGTTATTCACATCCTTGATTATATATATATATATATATAACCACCTAAAATAAGACATCTAATTTCGTTGTTTTTTTTTAACACATCCCCATAATAAGAGCATTTCACAATGTCATTATGAAAGTTATTTCCACAAAACAAGTGGGCGGAAAGAAGTCGTTATATGATTCTTCGTGTTGGTGAACAGTAGTTACGACACTTACTTGCAAGAAGTACGGTCTTGCCAGTTACGACACTAACAACAAGATGTATCAAAATATGATTGTCACCGTTATTGTGTACGTTAAGTACTGATATTGAAATCTGAGCAGAAATAATGTTCCAAAATAAGAGTCTCACGTTGTTCATCCCGGCTTTGAAATCAGCTTTGTGTCTCTTCAACGGATGATGGAAATCGACTTATGTAGGGAAGCCATTCATCTAATTATGCTCCATATCTTCATTTATCACAGGTATACTGATATTGAAATCTGAACAGAAATAATGTTCCAAAATAAGAGTCTCACGTTGTACATGAACAGAATACGTTTAGCTGTATA